TGCACTCCAGTCTGGGTGACAGAGTGAGACTCCAACTCAAAAAAAAAAAATAAAAGAAAATAAAAGAAAAACAGGAATTTGATAGACTATTCATTCTCTCCTCCTTCCCAACAAAAAGCAACGTTGACAGCAGGGTGTAAGCCTGTGTGTTTTCATATCAAGTATGCTAAAAGGTCTGGCTTTTTGTTAAGGTGTTTTGAATTGACATTTTACTGAAATAAACTTCTTAAAAGCTGAAGTATAACACCTACAGAAATAAGCGGTCAGCTTAGCATACTCCAGCAAAACAGACATGCCCATAAACCCACCCACCAGATCCCAGGATAGAACGACATCAACATTCTGAAGGCCTCGTGCCTTCTAGGGCTCCACCTTCCTCTCCCAAATTATCATACTCTTGACTCTAATGCCAAGAGTTCGTTTTAACTGTTTTGGACTTAGGAGAACAGAATTATGCAGTTGCACTCTTTTGTCTTTGATCAGTTCAATTCCAAAGTCAACCCTAGCACGGACACGCCTCTAAGAGCCTTGTCAATTTCACCCACAGGCTCCACACGTCCAAACGCATCAGCTCTAACTATGCCAAGGCTGTTTCACAGGCAGACTTAGGGATGCCCTCTCAGCTGCCTCTGCGCTCCCAGGTCTGGCTTGAGTCGCAGGGGGTGGGGCCCCTAGGACTGGTCACTAACAGGTTTCTAACTGGCCTTGGGTGTGGTTGGGACAAACGCTGAGAAGCAAGGCCTGGGCAAGTCCCTGCGGCTGGCTTGTGTGCCTCTGAACTAACCCTGCCGAGGATACTACAAGGTTAAAGGTGGAACCGCGGCATGTATCATGAGTCAGACCCTGGACCCGAGTGAACCACTGAAAAGAGAATTAAGCTTTGGGACTTGGGAGATTTCCAGCTGGTATCATAAAGTAGTAACAAAAAACTGTTCTTCAGTAGCTTGGAGGAAAATCTTTGAAAAATACCTCCCTGGGAGCAGTTTCCCCTCTCAAAAGGTGTAGCACAGTGCTTTTACAACACCTAACCTGCGTGATTTTGTAAGTCGAGTTGCAAAATCAAGGCCAGACCTTAGCCCAGGACCACTCACTGCTGAGCTCAGTGCAGTCTGAGTCCTTCAAAACATCAGCTAGATTCTGCCAGCAAAAGCTTCATGACAATTGTGCCTCGTATCTGTGGAAAAGCTCACCTTGACTATTCATGATCATAAGTTGAATGCGAAAGGAAAACCAGTATATAAATGTTTTGCCCATGTGAAAATAGGAGGTCAGATGGTTTCATTCTATTACAAATTATTAAAGAAAAAGATAAAATTGGGAGTCCTTCCATAAGAAAGAGTTACTTTGTCAAAGCTACTTACTCCTTCCTTCAAGTTACTCTTACTAAGTACCACGTACGACAGAACTAAGTTCACTACAAAATTCAGCAGAGCAGATGAGCACAGAAAAGCAGAAGTCCCAGCTACTTGAGAGGCTGAGGCAGGAGGATCCCTTGAGCCAGAATTCGAGGCTGCAGGGAACTAGAATCGCACCACTGCACGCCTGCCAGAGTGACACAGAGAGACCCTGTCTCACAAAGTAATTGATAAATAAATAAAGTAAAAAATAAAAACAAGATAAAAGAAAGCAGGAGAGAATGCTATAGAGTGACACAGTCGTCTGCTATTGGAGATGTAAACACACATTTTAACACGGCGGCTTTGCTGGGGAGGCTGGTGCCATCGTGTTCCAGACCAGACATCTGCCAGGGAAGTCTTAACCATGGATGTAGGAATGAGGTGGGTTCTCAGAGTCATAAAAATGACAAGGGCGGGTGACACCATGAGTGGTTATTAGAAGGTCAATACGTGTGGAGGGTGTTTCCAGGCTTTCACGCCTCATACATGGCAGGGATAACTTGTGCTGGCTGTACAACCGGTCTAACCTCATACTGTCGTTCCAACGGCACGGCGTGAAATATGAAGCCACGGACACTTTGGCTCCCATCTTTGTAGCCAAAGAAACTAGGGGGAGGCAGGAGGGCATTCTCGCCTTCCTTCTCGACCACAAGGTTCGCATGACAGACTGTAGAGAAAGAACTAACTGCGCGATGTGTGAGCCCTTGCCAGGGACGCCCCCTCCTTCCATTTGATACTGCTCTACAGGGGCTTGGAAGAGATGAAGGTCCCTCACTGTCCAACAAAAACAAGCCTTCAGGTGAGCATGATAAACAGACCAGAACAAAAAGGCACATTCACCACGGGGCACTTCTCCCTCACGATGGGACATTCCCCTCCAAGGCCTCAGGGCGAGGGATGTCAACTGCTTCTAGTCCATGCGGGTGTTCAAAACATAATTATCCATATTTGTACCTTATATAATGCTTAAGACACACGTTTCCAGAGGCCTGCCGTGCCTGAGTGGAGACTGAAGCCCACAGGAGAGCTGTCACAGATGGACTTGACGCAGCCCTGGAGGGCACAGTCAGAGCCAACGGAGGAAGTTAAAGAAATGTAAAAACTCGATTCTATTTAAGGAAGAGCTTTCTAACAATCTGTGTTCTCCAAAAACGGAATTGGCCGACTCTCTCAGCTGAAGCATTCCGGCGGGGCTGGGTGGCCATCTGTCAGGGCCGGGAGCAGGCCCAGCGCCGTGAGGAGGGGCCGGCCGGCTCAGTCAGGGCCCGGGCGCACCGCGCTCGAACCGTCACAGCTCACGAGAACACAGCCCGCCGGCGCAAGGCGCAGTTCAGAGTTTCCATTTGCAGCGCTGTCTTTTCCCCTTCTAAAAAACTGAAGAAGAAAAAGGACAGGTTACTCAAGGGCACTTCCAGATCATCCAGAGTGCTTGTTTCGCTGTATTCTACTTCCCACCAGTTTCTGGGTGTTTCATGCTTTAGGAGACTCTTGAGGATATAAAAAATGGGGAGGAGGACAAAAAATAGATTAAAAAAACAAAACAAAACACGAGACAGCAATGTTTAGCGTCACTAAAAAGAAGGGACTTTGGTGAGAGGCTGAAATCGGAAAAATAAATGAAACTAAGCTCAGAGCAATCTTAAAGTATTCATTTGTGCCACTCTTTTTTCTTAACCAGTTAATGAAGCGTTATAAGCATAAGACATGATGTGTTTTTCAAGTGACATACTTGTGAGAAAGAAAGAAAAAGAAAGGAGGGAGGGAGGAGAGAGAAAGATAGATGAAAGGCGGACAGCCATTGTGAGAGACGGGCCGGATTTTTAATTAAACATGAATTTCCCCATCAGGCTCAGAATTCCTAATGGCCAGTGACCTGGGGGTGAGCCCCACAAAGGCCTGGTCTCATTTCTCTCTCCAACTCATGGGGAGAATCTAATCCACACACAAAAACACGACCCCGTAAGTGGAGGCTGCAAATGATTCTGCAGAGAGGGTTTAGACCTTTCAAGATTGTGTTAAAGGAAAGATGACCATCTCGCAACACCGACCACACGAGGTGGATCATTCTATTTTCCATTTTCCCATGGACTCTTCACCCCCCGCCCCTCCAAATAAAACAAATATTCTTGTGAAAATTTTTTTTTTAATTCTAATGTCACACAGGCCACAACGTGAACTTATTTCAACAGCAAGCCCTTAAGTGAAAACCTGCAGTCTTGGGTACAATGTTATAGAAGGAGTTAATAGCAATTTTTTAAATGCCAGTTCGCATCAGTCATTCTTCAGAAAAGCCCTCACCATTATTTTCTCAGACACTCAGACGCAGTAACCACCGCAAGGAAGCCCAGAATGTATAGGACCGGATACCACCCACTTCCTGCCATCCGCGGCAGCGTTCTGCATGTCCTGACACCAGGGAAGAAAAGAGGCACGGGGTGAGAGAGCCAGAGAACACGCTGCCTGAACTGAGCGCCCAGCAGTCTGCACCTGGGTGACCCCTGGAGGCCTCTGACATCACACGGCTGCCACCTTCGCTAACGGTGCCGGGGTGTGAAACGTCACCGATTTCAAAGAGGGGAAAAATGCTCCTGCCGTCTCCTTCCCTGTGCCGAAGGGTCAAAAATGGACAGGATTTTGCAAGAGAGAAACCATTTGACGGCACAACATTGGCAGAGCTGGGCACACTTCTGGAGGTGGCCGTTCCATCTCAGCGTCTTCTAGAACTTTGATGCAAGGCCGCAGACATCTGTACAGGGGTCCCCTAAGACTCCCAACTCCAAAATCTCCAGGGAGTGACAAACACCCTACTTCTCCATCTCGCTCTTTTAATTCGCAGAGGTTTTTAAAAAGACAACTGGGAAGAGGCCGGCCCTAAACAGAACTCCCGCATTTTTTCGGCAAGCCAGCCCGCAGGACGAGCAGCCCTTCTCAGGCGCCCGGGGCCTCCCCGCAGCATGCAGAACACTCACCCAGCGTGTCCTTCAGGTTCTTCACCAGGGAGCCCTTCTTCAGGCTGTTCTTCCGCTCCACGTAGTTGGACGGCACGTAGCCCGTCCTGTTGGCCGCGTTCCTCACCCGCCACCACGTCTTGGAGTCGTCCAGCAGCCACAGGCGCTCGTTCTTCTTGATGTCCAGCTCCTGGTCCTGCTGGGCCGTGTAGTCCCACTTGGCTATCACAATGACTTCTTCTGTCATCTTTCATGGAGTCCTTCTGCCAGCAAAACATTTGGAGAAGCTCATTAGAGGACCACCCGGACCCTTCATCCTTTGCACCAACTTCAAAAACTAGGCATTGACAGCTTTTATTATACAACTCTGCCGCCAGTTTTCTCCCGGGTCTTCAAATGCTCAACCTCAAAATGACCTTCTTTCAACAAGCTTTAGCATTCAGTTTAGAAAGAGCAACTGATAAAACAAATCCTACGTCACTGCCTACTGGACGCTGGGAACTCTGCACTTTCTACCAAAAACAAAAACAAGCTTGCAAACAATTCTAAATAATATTATAATTAATGCGTTCGTTTGAACGCATTAACACCAAATCCTGATAGCTGAGATATTTACATTCATTTTCTTAGGATATGCAGGGTTTTAGAACATATTTAGTAAACAGGACACTCAAACTACTCCTACAAACTAAAATTAAAATTACCATGGTAATGATATAAGGTGGTTTCCTGGAATGGATCATGAAACAGAAAAAGGAAATTGGTGGAAACGCTGGTGAGATCTAAATAAAGTCTAGTTAATCATACTGTACCAACGTGAATCTCTAAGTTTGGACAATGTACCAGTAAAAAACGACTGCACTCACGTAAAACATTAATGTTAAGGGAAACTGAGTCAAGGGTACATACACACAGGAGGACTCTCTACTAGCTTGGCAACTTTTCTACATACAAAAAGTAATTCTTGAAAACTTAAATTCACACAAAAACCTGTGCACAGATGTTTATACAGCTTTAATCGTAACTGCCCAAACTTGGAAGCAACCAAGATGTCCTTCAGCGGTTGGATGGATAAACTGTGATATATCCAGACAATGGACTATTAATCAGCGCTAAAAAGAAACGAGCTACCAAGTCATGAAAAGACATAGAGGAACCTTAAATGCATATTACTAAGGGAAAGAAGTCAATCTGAAAGGCTACCCACTGTAGGGTTTTTTTTTTTTTTAGCTGGGGGGGGGCTCACTGTGTTGCCCAGCTGGAGCGCAGTGGCACAATCACGGCTCACCACAGCCTTGACCTCCTGAGCTCAGGAGATCCTTCTGCCTCTGCCTCTCAAGTAGCTGGGAAAACAGGCATGCACCACTGCACCTGGCGAATTTTTTGTCTTATTTATTTTTTGGAGATGAAGTTTTGCAATGTTGCCTAGGCTGGTCTCGAATTTCTGGGCTCAAGCAATCCTCCCACCGCGGCCTCCCTGAGCGCTGGGATTACAGGCATGAGCCACCATGCCCAGCCTCCTACTGTATGATTTCGACAGACTCATGATCCTCTGAATCCTCTTCCCAATTAGGTCTTTGCGTTTGTATATCTGTCTCCATCTTTGCATTGCCCAGTTTTGCACAAATCCTGACAAACTGGTCTAAGCGGAATCCTCTACCCTCAGTCTCTGATCAGGTCCCTCAATCTCCAGCATGCTGCGGGTGATACCTGATGCCCCTGGCTTGCCTTCAGCAAGGATCCTGCTAGAATGGTTTAGCCAGAATTCCCACTCTCCTCCCTGACGTCTCCTCTAGTGATTTTCCATCCACCAACCCCCTCAAACCTTGCTCCTTGGCCATGCATTCCCACTTTTCCATGCTGTATTCATTACTGAACACAAACCTCTTTCCCCACTGCAAAATCCCAGTGTAGTTGTCCCTCAGAAAAGAAGGTCTGCCATACCGTTCTCTAACAAGTATCATGAATAATTTTTGATTTAATCATTTCAACTATACGACATTCTGGAAAAAGCAAATGTATGGCGACAATAAGATCAGTGGTTGTCAGGGGCTAGGTGGAAGGGAGGGTGAAGCACAGAGAATTTTAGGGCAGTGAAACTACTCTGTTTAAGGCTAAATGGGGGGGCACCTGGCAGCAGACATTAGTCAAGACCCACAAAATTTACAAGTCAAAGGTGTTTTTATTTTTCCAGAATAAAAAGTCAATCAGAATAACAATCAATAAATATAGTATATCACATTATCTAGTGAAGTCAATTTTGGAAGTGATAAATAGTGGAGGTGTACCTGAATAAAATGCATATAGTTATCAACTCTATCTAACTCCACACTTCCTAGGTAGAAGGACCAGTATTCTTTCAGCAGAAAAATGCAGTATTAAACTGACTAGTCATTTCCCCCAAACCAGGAAGAAAGGAATAATGAAAAGACCCTGGACTAAAACCTCCTTCCCCCCTGCCAGAGAAAAGTCCTCATTCTTTCATTTTCATAGGGATGACTTGAGGAACACAGAAGGGAACTACGCACACTGACACCATGGAAGCATGAATGTCATTGCTTAATAACATGTCAGTTTCTACTAGACACTAAAAAAAAATGTATAAATAATACACGTTTATCTGTTTCACGAATTAACTTCCAAAGCCAGAGTTAATGTAGTGCTAATGCAAGGTGGTGTCCTGGATCAGATCACAAAACAAAAAAAGGAAATGCTTGGTAAAATGTATGCATAATTTACATAATATCCAAGAGGACAGAGTTTGCACAAAGCTCGTTCCAAAACTGGAGATAATTTTGTCACTACTTTCAGAAAATCTCAAGTCTGTACCATGTAGGCTAACATGACCTTTATGTCAGATTGGACTTTTGAAAGTCATAAAGGCAGATTTTCTTTTTAAAATAACAACCAGAAGAGCAACAGCATGAACAGAGATGGGATTCGAGAATATCCCATTTGAATATCAGACTTGTTTCCTAGTTACACAATTTCCACAAATTTTTAACAAGAACATCCCATCACTTAAGACCCGTCAAGATCTAGCCAACAAAGGCTACTCTCTGCTGCACAGACAGCAGCGAAGTGAGGAGCTGGCCAGGTACAAGCTTTTCTAGGCACACTGACCATCACACAGGAGCTTTTATTTTTTTAACTTTTATTTATTTATTTTTTTGAGTCGGAGTCTCACTCTGTCGCCCAGACTGGAGTGCAGTGGCCGCTCCCGGTCACCGCAGCCTCGACCTGTTGGGCTCCCGCGATCCTTCCGCCTCAGTCTTCCAAGTAGCTGGAATTACAGGCGCGCGCTACCACGCCTGGCTGATTTTTTGATTTTTATAGAGATGAGGTCTCGCTGCTCAGGCGGGTCTTGAAACCGCGGGCTCAGGCAATCCACTCACCTCGGCCTCCCAAAGGCGTGGGATTACAGGCTGAGCCACTGAGCCTGGCTTATTTTTTTTAACTTTTATTATAAAGATGTGAGGTACATTTCAGGGTTAGGTATATCAACACTGATCATGCAGGTGCCCTTGTTGACGAGGTATGCCCCTCCTTCCCCTGACAGTTTCCCACTACTGCCACTGGCTTTCTTATAGCATTATAATGGCGCAGGGTCCACTCATGAGTGAAAACATATGGAACTCTGTTCTTTGCTTCTGTGATAAATCGCTGAGTATGACTGACTCCAAATCCATCCAAGTTGCTGCAAAGTTCATATATCTGTCCTTCTTTATGGCTGCATAACATACACAGGAGCTTTTAAAAAGTGCCACTGCCTGAGCTTTACCACAAACCAAGCATCTTGGGATCTGTACAAGAAAGGCCTGGCCAACAGGAAGTGGCTGACAGCGTGCTAAGTAATGTGACAGGCCTCAGAAGGAAAACCCCAAGTAAGAGGGAACTGAGACACAAAACGTCTCCTCCCAAGCATACCCCCCAAGGCCACCACCTGAGCTCTGCAATGAGACATAAACCTTCAGTTTGGGAAGTAAACTGTGAGTACCTGATGGGCACCCAACACATATCTACTCGTTTAGTCTTGACAGCACCTGCCTTTCAGGGAGGAGTGATCCTTTAGGAGAATAAGGATCACAGAAATCCAGTGACTAGTTTAAGGGCAGTCAGAAGCTGAGCCCAGGTCTGTTCCCACGTTTGTTCTCACGTGCTCATGTCTGGGGGACAGAGTGCGTGTGGGTCTGTTGTGTGGTCTGTATTTTTCTACAACCTGGGAAAGCTATGATGCTAGGACAGGTAGGAATTAAAGTTTTCCACATATTAGAAATGACTGCCTATTGGATGGCCAGAGCAATAAGGTCAACTCCATTCTAACTGCTTCATGACTGGCTCCCATCAGGGAAAAAAAATGCTATTTAAGACCAGCCGACCATCAACTGCCTGGCTGCAGAGAGATGCTTCCAAGGTTCCGCCAGTTGGATGCTTCACTCGGGTTCTGCTGAGTGGCAGTCGATCAGTGACAGACCCGTGGGAGGACCCACACACCACAGGTAAAGGTCAACCAATCCCATAATACCTTGGCAACTCTAGGAACACTGGAAGTCACACTTCCCAAACCCTTGGAAAGAAGTTCAGTTCTTTGCACAGGAGACCGACTCGGAAGCCTGCCTGTCCTTAGAGGAAGAGGGGCCCGCCAGGTTTTGTGCTCTGGTGAGTATGGTTGCACACAGTTAAGAGAATGGCTTCTGCATTTACTCAGCCGGCCAGGGTCCTCAGGACCCTGAAACCCAAGGGAAAGAAGTATACCTGGCACCCTGTGTTCTCGTCGGCATCTGGTCTCTCCTTTTTGCCAACACAGGTTGAAAGGCCAGCTGCCAGCCTACATTGGAGGGTCCTGCACGTTGGCTGAGCTAAGACTCTACCCCTGAGGCCTTGGGAAGCTGTTTCTTAGAAAAGCACATGGTATTTTCAGGTAAGAGTAATTTGCTATGGTGCAGCATGGATTAGAACAGGAAGAGACTACAGGTGAGTCATTCATTATTCCACCATACAATCAGATATACAAACTGACACATTTCCAGGATGGAAAAACCCAACAGAAGAAAGTCTAGAAGAGGAAATTCTAACTAACCGAGGACTTAAATGTCAAGTCAGGGATGGTATTCTGATATCATCTAACACAGGTCTGATTCAAAGAATAATGCATGTTTGTTCCCTCCAGCTTAGCAGTTCAAGGAAACCTGATTTTTTTTTTTTTTTTGTCATTAACTATAGCTATTTAAGTTTTTCGCCCAGGTCTGGCCCACTGAGAGAA